TCATTTGCTGCTGTATGCTTCGTGAAGTTTCTATCGATATAATCTGTTGTTTTTGGCAGACAATAAGAAGGGCGTTGTTTCCAAATGTAGTCCTTTGAACTTTTGTCAGCTGTCTTTAAAGAAAGGGAGTCAGTTTAGCATAACGTATTATAATCGTCCTCGTGCGTTTCTCTCCGTCGAATCCTGAATTCGGCTTTGTAAGGCCCGGTTTTGTATTCAACCTGAGAAACGAGTGTATCTGTTCCATCGAGGAATCCACGGTTCTAACGGATGGTTCCAAGCAAACAATATAAGAATCCCTTATGAAATTTACTACTGTTTTTTTCAGTTCTAGTGGATTACTACCCTTGTCTGATCACCAACCAGAATATTGACCAAGCTCCGGATCTAACGTATCCTCTTGAACAGACAGTCTCTCAAACCCGCATGGAACTGAACCAGAGCATCAATATGCTATTTGGAATAATGAAACTTTCTCTCCTTTGTTTTACGTGAAACGACGTTAGTCAGTGCCATGAAATGACTGAGCGAGATATAGTCTATCATGGTAATCGGACTCAGGGCGTGGGTTTCGCATTCTTAACTGTTATCAAAACCTGTGTATCAAGGGTTACGTTGAAACAAAATACTACATAAGTGGACACTATTAATTTAAAATTAATCCCGCCGGTGAACCCTACAAATTATATCTCCTTGTCGTTGTTCTTATTTGTGTACAGGTACATCCGTTCGCCGGTGTGGCAGACGTAGCCTCAAAAGCAGTACCGAGAGTTCTCTTCAATCGTGACTTAGTTGGCCCTTTTCGTTTCGGTATTCGGCCTTTGGATTACGCCGTTTTAGGTTAGTCCGTACCACTAATGGTGCCTCCTCCTTGTTGATGGTACTGTATTCAGTTCCTTGAGCCGTATCTCGGTTATTTAATTTTCACGTGCATATTTCAGTTCGACAGTATCGCTCCCGTGCAACATTTATCGACTGTTCCTTTGCATGTTGTCATTGATTGTGTCCGAAGTAAACTAACTGATACAAATGACTGTGGTCACTATCAATTTTTGAGGAAGACTAGTTTTGTCATGGCTTAGTTTTCTTCCGATTCGTAGGTGAAATAACACATTCAGTGAACAAACTGGCGGCTGCGTTGGACTGGAAATCACAATTAGATTTGCTACTAAAACAAAATGAAGCGGAATCGGTGAGTGACTGTTGTGTTGCACGGTCATCTATTGTCGTCTAGTAATCGCCCACAGACTACCTTTTTCACCTAGTCTTGATGTTTCTACGGTTCGTTGTATTAACTGACGTGAATTTGAAATCACAAATCACTGTGAAAAGCTAGGAACAGCTGTAGTGTTTCCCAGATTTCCAGTTAATTCTTCATTTGCGACGAATCCTCACTGAATTTTTCTGTTCGAACACGGACGGGTTTGTGTTGGAGTTCGTGTCATTACTTCAATCATACACCCGGCGACAAAACTATTGCACCTCGCTAGATTTTTGAAGTATCTTTGCTCCCACAGGCGCGATCATCAATTTTGAGAATCTAGACCGCAACCGAATTTTCAGAACAATGATAAGTTGTCTATCAGGACCTAGTCAATATTCATCTGCCACTTCCATAGGTCGTGCTAGAAGATAGCTATTTTAACAGAAGATCAACCTATGGGTCTTAGCCACGGTAGGAAAGCGATTGTCTTTCGCCTAATTGTTGAGCATTTCATCTGAATGGGGCACGTGATGGACACCTACACGGACTTCACAACCACTTACCGGGTCCAACAACACAAGTCCAAGGATGTTCGTATTAAAACGATAGCAACAGCCAAGACAGTTAACATCCGCTTAGTAAATCAGAATTTTGAGCACAAATACCGGCACTCGGACTCCGTGACCGGAAATAGACATCACGCATAATCCGGCGATAGGCCGAATCCATTACCGACGGTCACGTAAATCGCTCTCCGCCTCGTCGAGGACAGACGTCAGTTATGAACACTTGTAGCCAAGTGAATTTCGGTTCAGTTTGTTCAACCGTTAACCATGCACTTTCGTGCGCCGGTTTCGGTTGCTCTTTTGTTTGCCCGTTGGGATAAAAGAGCAGAAGGAAAATTGGAATGTTGGGAGCAGAGTCAAAGAGAAGATACATAACTCTCTCTCTTAGTCTACTAAGGTTGCAAGAATAATGACTCGGTGCTCGAGCGCCAACCTTTGCTACACAGCGGCGTTTATGTATCGTCCTTGACAATATGAATTGATTCACTTATACATTTTGTACGATAAGATCGGTTGCAGATATGATAACAGAATGACAACCCGTTTTTATTTATTCTTCAGCCATGACCGATACAATACTTAGGCATTTTGTTCGTAAATGTTTTTTGCTACTGATAACCTTTCCTGTCGTTCTTTTCCAGATATCGACCGGTACAGCTCCAAATAGCACAAGCGATAGTAAAAAAGTAAACAACAGTGCCTCACGAAGACATTATTGCACACCCGCCACGTCTCACCTGACTGAGCGGTTAAGCTCGCTGTCTATTTCGGGTAATGGAATTGGGTCACGGTACAATTTATTGCGACAGACACAAACTCCTTCAACCGAGCTGGACCGGCGTTCCTCTGCGGCTACCGAACCAACAAAACAATCGCGAATCTTTGCACCTGAGGCGGACTTGCAATCGCGTCGCATCGCGGCCACCGCAACATCTCGAGCCGGTAACCCATGCTCCCGGACGAGATCATATCATAGGCACCTCGAGCCTGTGCCACGTGATGCGTTAACCGCTTTGCGAGCCTATCTCTATTCCAGTTCTGCGCATACATCTGACTCTGAATCGTCCGGGACCGCTCGTAGTTTTTCCAACTCTTCTAGCACTACAGACGTCAACTGTGATACCAAATGTTCAATTCCCTTAACAGATTGTTGCGACGATCGATCTTCTTAGACTCCATTGTTTTCGGTATAAGAATCTCGTATGACTATCGGTTTTATTTGATTATTTTTCTTCAGTCAAAAAGTTGAAAACTCCCGTTATAATGTGAATTAATGGCACCAACCACTTTGCTTTCCTGAGTTTTGCTTGCATGCCTTTGGGCTTTCAGTACATATTCATTGGAGTTATACTTGAATCCACAAGAAAATTCATTTGCTCCAGATTGACCTTTCACTGACGAGAAAAACAATGGTGGTGCGTTTAAATCTGGAAGCAACTCAACTTATCATAAACGACTCTTTCTTTCAGGCAGTACCTATCATGACACTATTCTCTGCTAGGGAATGATCCAGCTCCAAGGATTTTCGCTGGGGTAATATTCCAGGGTGTAAGCTGTGCCGTTCGGGACTGTTTCACTACTCCATCGCCCGGTCCGAAGTAGGACGGCGAGTGAGACTAGTCATTTGTCCTTTCGTTCGAAACCCAGATGAGCCGGTTCATTCGCGTTTTTGGGAAACCGCTTTAGAGTGGATGGAACACTAACAGAGCAGTGATTTTATTTGGTAGTGGATCGCAATCGCCATATCACACTGTGTGACATATTTATATATATGAATTGCGAAAGCGCGGCTGCGGGGCATTCCCACGTCACCATACGTGGTCTGTCATCAATCAGGTAGTTAACTGAATAAGGCTAATTTGAGCTCACTAAAACACTGCATACGTCTATGGACTGTAGTTTTAAAATGAAGCCAGTCAGGAAGTGGGGCCGCCTGCTCGAGGGGTGATGCGCGAGAGCAAAAGCTTGAGATAGTGAAAAAACAATTGCTTCGCAAATAACGTGTATTAGAACGCGTAGATTTGAATAAGGTAGAAAGCTCCCCTGTTGAAAATCCAATCCAGCGGTGCTGATTACAGTACCGGGTGCAAACTGCGCGGGCCGTAAAGGATCAATCTAAATCTAAAGAACGAAAGTATCTCAGAGAAACAGAATGGATGCTTACCTGGACAGGATTGTCCGGGCATTGTGAAACCTGAGGGCATACCACCTAAAAAAGAATGGAAGACAATGAACAGTCATTATCTGTATTGAATCCGATTCGACGGTGACTTCAGTCATCCTAAATTTAGAGCTAAAACAAAAGGACATTTCGTAACACGTGTTTAATATAGCTGTCGTTTGAACGAGAGCTTGCATCCACTTGAAGAAATGCTATCAAGTTCGAGCCATCTGATGCTAATTTTTTNNTTTGAGTTACCTCTCAATATAATGCCAGTGAAATGCCGATATCTAAATCAAACAGGTGTCACCAACAAGCTCACCCAAGGGAGTTGGAAAACACTGTCTCGACTCACCAAGATGAGGTGAATAAGAGAGTTCGGTGATACATTATTGGAGCTACCGGATCAATTCTAATATACAGATCAAGGAAGCAAAGTCTGACCGACTGCACACTAGCTTCTGATGGGATGAGGGTTGCACGCCGCCATGTTCTGCGCATGGGATTTCGGTTGTGAATCATTCAGAAAAACATGCTTCGGTTTTGACCACCGACAAAGTCTAATCGTTTATCATGAACATTCATTCGCCATGATTTGCTTGATACAAACGTCCCTCAGTTCGGAGATTTGTATCGCTTGGGTATTATCACCAAGCGAGATATTTCATCGGCACTCCCCAAATCCGGCCAAAGAAAGGAACGGATAATCAGTTCCCATGCCGTCTATTCGTGGGTTGGTGAAAATGAAGATAAATGGAGATACGGGGCAACTGCCTTGCAAACAGGTGCTTTAATCAAACCTACATACGGATGTGGGGGATAAAATCTACTTCCTCCTCAACTTTTCGGTAGGCCCTATCGTAAAAATTTCTTACAAGCTTCAAAGAAGGCGGGCAATCATCTGACCTAGACATTCCAATGTCAAAATTATCAAAACAAGAAATCGGAGAAAATCTGTTGATATCACTGAGCTCTATCGTATCACGGTTTACTAGTTGCTAACATCACGAAAACAGTGCGCCCTGAAATGGTGTGATGACTCGCGCGCATTCATGACGCTGCGAACTACACAGGATAGTCTTACATGGCGGTATATCTAATCGTGCCTGAAAAAATATTAGGTAGACAGCTCAGTCTCACAAGCTTTTCTATTCATTCTCGCCCTTGGAGATGATAATCCAACAAAAAAACGAGGGGAAGTTTACCGGTCGAAAAAACCCGCTGGATGAACGTAGGACTGGGATGACTTTTTGTCGACGGTGGGAGAAGTCTTCGCTTTTCATTGGACAGATTTCGTCTGTCTAAGCTGGGCAGCACCCAACTAATAAGGAGCTATCCCGTCCACTATCTGCCCGTCTCATCGGGTGCATGAGACTAGGACCGACAATCAACGCAACAGCGAGCAATACACTGAACTGAAGGCCTGGCGTGATAAGATTGTGCAAGTTATCAAAGGTGTGCT